TATACGGATTGTCAGGTTCAATACCATACTACCAGGTACATACACCTGCTCACGTAGTTATCCATCTCTTACCTTCCCTGGAATAGTAATAGTGTACTGGCAATTAGGGTTCTAGGGCCCAATAGGTATTACCCCCTTTTTTCTCTGCATTATGCTTCGGTTAGTGGTCCCGCGAGGCCAACACCCCGCCTCACACTCGGAGGCATACACCCCTCGGGCCACTCGTGAGCTAGCCGCCTCGCATTCTATCATAGAGAGGGCCTGACCTGTCACTCCCCTTCCTATTTTTCTGGTTACTGTCACCGAGAGGCCAACATCCTGCCACAACGTTCGGTGGCCACACAAAATCCCCTCGCGCCAAGCATAGATAGAGCCTCTCAAGCCACTTGGCAACTAGCAGGGCCTCACCAGTCACCAAAAAACACCAAGCCTAATCGTTTCGCCTTACGGCTTAGCTAGCAAGCCGGTACAAGACCCCTGGGTACAAATATATAATTGCAATCTTTATTGTTATTTAAGTATTTCTCAAAAAGATGGTAAAGAATCACCTCTTCCTAGCACCACGGCTAGAAGTGATACACCTTCATCTCTTACCTTCCCTGGAATAGTAGTAATGTACTGGCAATTAGGGTTCTATGGCCCAATAGGTATTACCTCCTGTTTTCTCTGCTTTACGCTTTGGTTAGTGGTCCCGCGAGGCCAACACCCCGCCTCACACTCGGAGGCATACACCCCTCGGGCCACTCGTGAGCTAGCCGCCTCGCATTGTATCATAGAGAGGGCCTCACCTGTCACTCCCATTCCTATTTTCTGGTTACTGTCACCGAGAGGCCAACATCCTGCCACAACGTTCGGTGGCCACAAAAAAATCCCCTCGCGCCAAGCATAGATAGAGCCTCTCAAGCCACTTGGCAACTAGCAGGGCCTCACCAGTCACCAAAAAACACCAAGCCTAATCGTTTCGCCTTACGGCTTAGCTAGCAAGCCAGTACAAGACCCCTGGGTACAAATAATAATTGCAATCTTTATTGTTATTTAAGTATTTCTCAAAAAGATGGTGAAGAATCATCTCTTCCTGGCACTCCGGCTAGAAGTGATACACCTTCAAGCAGAGGAGATGTGGCTCCGACCTAAGGAGGCGACAAATCCCCTACCCTGCCACAGCAAGGAAAGCAGAGTTATTCAAACTCCTCCATACATCAACGGACAACACGGAAGCAGGGGAAGGCCCAGCAACACTAACTCAGGTGACACCCAGGCCATGCTAGACTCACTCATAAACTCATGAGCCAAAAAATTTACGACAGACTGGCAATCTCGAGTCAGTCACAGCCCTCACAAGGCTGGGCCTCACTGTACAACCAGCACCAACCGAAACTCGGTTACTTGGTTCAAGACGTTAACCTTGCACATATGATCCCGGCACATTGGGGAAACAAGGCATATATATGTATGATGATGTATCTATGATGGTCAGACCCAGGGATTCTAGGTAAATCGGGAACTGACCATCCCTTGGTTGTGCTGGCATTTGGAATATGTAGAGATGCTTATTTGTGCAGGTACCCATCCAGAATCGATTTTCTCCCAAACAAACGGGCGAGCACTCTCAGGCTCCAGGTACCAGCACCTCTGAACTACCAGAGACAATTGGTATTAGTAGTTGCATTGCATATAGACTGTTGCATATATGTTCAAATCATTCAGGGCACATGACAAACCATGTGTCCCAATACAACTTACAAATAACGTACACACCAATGCATTTTCAACACTACTGACTTATCACCCTTCCAGACTTGTAGTAGATTTACTAAGGCTCTGGAGCTTCAAAGGGCTCCCATACAGGTATCATAAATAAACTCTCAAGGAATATAGTATGCCCTCACTTACAGTCAGCACAACAGAACCGTCGGCTGTAAACACACTCATAGCCAAGATTTGCAGAGGGGTTTTTACTTGGGTTTTCCAATCTCCACCATTTACAGCATGGCACCAAACACAAGCACATTGGTATTGTCACAAGGAAATCTTCCCTTAAACAAAGACTAACCATAGACTTATTGGCACCACACACCTTCGCTACCCCAAGTCTCAACTCCCTCATACCCTCCGAGGAGTTTCCTTACTATACACACCATTGATCTACCTTTACAGCTATCACTCAAGCATGGGTTGAAGCTTCGTTAAGTAAGACCAATATCATCAACACAGTAAACGGCTACCATCTACCCTACAAACTGGCACTTACATGGCATAAAATGGGCAATCCTATCCCCGTTAAAAGCAGCTGCTGTGGCATGGGGTAAATCATGGTCAGGGTCATCAATCCGTTGTTACTCAGACAACTAAGCACATGTCATATCATTAACAAATGCCGCTCATCATCCATACGATCATGGTATTGCTGGGGAACTCACTTGGTTGGCCACTTACCACATTTATTTTACTTTCATGTACCAGGCGGGGGTATACATCCTTGCTGACAATTGTCTCATTTATATTCCAGGCACGTTCATCATACGCTTCCTACAGCCGCCCATACAGTCACGGCCACTCTTTCGTTCCAGAGACAAAATCATGGATTAGACATACTCATGCAGCATAGCATGCACTAGCACTTACTTGTAGAACGCATAACACCTATTCACCTGCCTTTAAAGAATCTCATTGGAACACGACATAGCTCAACCTGTGTCATAACATTTCTCCTAGGTTTTGCTTCATTTTTTGCCACCTTAAACTAAAACCATCTCACACACCATTAATTATATATTTTACAGGCATTCAACAACACAGGATAACCTATGGCCAAAACTACCATAACTTCATGCTATCATACCAGACAAGAATATACTCAGAGGTTTTCAGGAATCCATCCCCCCACGTTCCTCTCAGATATTACCAATAGCCATCCAACTTTTCCATCCTTATCGGACCTATTAGAGCTACAACCATTCAATTATACTACCAAGTTGGCCATTACCACCATGCACACTGCCTTTTATGCCTTTCTCAGGCCAGAGAATCCACTACCATAACCACCACTCAGATAGATCATTGTCTTCAACGATCCCACATATGTAAACACATATATCACTACCTATTGGCTCTACCACATTCCGAAACGAGTCAACACGCACCAACAGTAGAGATAACATACTATCCTACCCACAACAAATGGTGTCCAGTTGCGGTCCTAGATTCCTACCTTCAAAAATCCTTCCAGGAATTAAATACCGTAATGCATTTAAGGAAATGTCTGGTTAATTTGTATATATTGTTGACTGTATTAAATCTTTGATTATTCTTTTTGCCCTCTTTATTTACAGGCCTACCGTATCGTCGGTCTCGGCACACCACAACCGACTTGCTCCCTTTATACTATCCTACGCTTATGCTGGAACCTTACTCCATATACGGCTATTTGCCCCGAACACAAGTTTTAAGGCCATTTGGCCTGTATTTGTGGGAGGGGCTTAAATTAATTCACTCCCCTATATAAGGGACACCCCTTACCTGACTCATATCGCTTGAGGTCAGCATCAGAATGACCCTCCCACCCACTCCTCATTTCAACACTTTCTATTTTCTTTCCATTTACTTACTCCTTGGTGGGCCCTCTTTATTTACAGGCCTACCGTATCGTCGGTCTCAGCACACCACAACCGACTTGCTCCCTTTATACTATCCTACGCTTATGCTGGAACCTTACTCCATATACGGCTATTTGCCCCGAACACAAATATATATATATATATATATATATATATATATATTGTTTGTATATTATATTTTTGTAATATTGTATCCTATTGTAACAATGCACTGTTCTGTGGACCCAGGACATACTTAAAAATGAGAGAAATCTCAATGTATCCCACCTGGCAAAATATTTTATAAATAAATTGATTTAATACAGCCTGATCCTTCCAGCCTTGTATTCTGAAAAATATTGAACACAGACAATCAAATAAAGTTATATACTTAAAACCAAAAAATATCGGTCATATAGACAGCTTATACACTAAATATGTATAATTTTCCATTTCACGAATAACAGCAATATACTTCCTAAAATAGCACTCCATTAAGTTAAATATTTTCCAAAAGATACACAATCTTGACCATTCAAAAGCCAGATATCACTAATATTATTATTATTTTTTTGGAGGGGAGCTTTATTTTATATTCCTGATATACTCAATATGATCATATTCCCTTTGTAACCTTTTGTGTTAAATAAATCTTGTACCACTGAAAGGGTAGAAGTGCACTGCTTTTGATTAATGGGATCAACACTAATTAACAATCACAAATTGTATTTCCATTAGCTTGAATTAGATATACATTTGCACGTTAATGGACAGTTTTGATTACATCGGCTGCAGTGTTATTGGCAAGCCAATGTGCCGTCTATGTGCCTTTAAGACCAATATTCAGACAAAATATTATGATAAAGTGCAATTAAGTGCAAATTCATATGACAAAAAAAAGTGATAAAGTGCACTTTGTGCAAATGTGCAAAAACACTCACAAATGAATTAATGTTGACAAATAGTGCAAATTTTGTATACTTAACGTTCCTACTATAAGGAGAAAGCCTCCAAGCTTGTGTCAGCAATACAATATAAATCTCAAAAAAAGAGAAAAAGAAGACACAACCTCATAGGGCAATATGCATAAATAATAAATGTATAGAGAAAGTAAACTTGAAACACTCACAAAGGCTGAGCAATAAAGTCTGCTCTAAACTGTAATGGCATCTCTGTGTAAGGTATTCAGGCTTGAAGCTTTGGTGAAGATTAAAACACTTTATTGTTGCTTTACAATTAAAAAAGCTGCCAGGCAAAAGTCCCCTTTACTTCTCGCTTCCCTCTTCTCCTGTTGGTATATTAGCTTCACTTTAGTCCAGCGCCGGCTATGCAGGACGCCAAGTGCCGAAAATGCCAATCAACAGTTCCGGGGGGCCGTGCTTACAGCCGCAGAGTGTGATGACGTAATACGTCAGAACATGATGACGCGTTTCGCCGACGTGCTCGGCTTCATCAGATCTGATCTGATGAAGCCGAGCACGTTGGCGAAATGCGTCATCATGTTCTGACGTATATTGTGCACCCCTGTGAATGTACGTGAAAAGTGTAAATCGATTTGGCATTAGGCCTGTATGTTGGCAGAATAGAAGACTAATCAGAGGATTGAGTTAAAGGGAGTTAAAGAGCAAGCATGAGAACCCTCCCAAAGGCAGCTCTCTGTTCAGTCAACAAGTGTTTTGCCTTTGCGTGCAGAGGGAGTAAATCATATTCAGATGTCAATTAACTGCTAGTGAAGTCAACATAGCGTCATTATTATATGGGAAAATGTCTTCAAGCTGAAAATATCACAACAGACAAGGGGTGGCAGCATTAACAACATTGTGACGACACAAAGTGGGCAGGTACAGTTGTAAGATCCGCAAAAAAATTCAAGCGGCTGGAAACCCTGGGACTTGGAAGTTCCTGTCTTGGAAGCAACTGTATACAAGTTAGAGACTCTGGATAGAGGCATCACTGGTGGAAGACTTGGCTCTCCTGATTGCGCATTACTGATTCCAATACTGGACAGAGACTATCGCTACGCATCCAGTGGAAACACAGGCACTTGTGAGTATCAGTTTTTGCTGCATGTACTCACCTTTCATAATCCAGTAAGGGGCCATACCGGCAGTAATACTGGGCTTTATTAGCAGATTAATTGTTTATGTTATTTTAAAAGATGTACTAATACATTTTGATATGTCTATAGTATATATATATATATATATATATATATATATATATATATAAGTATATATATATATATATCATTGCTATCATTGCATACTGCAATACTCTGGTATTTTGGCATATTGTCTACTTGACTAATATGACTAATCCAATCTACTCTCTCTCTCTCTCTCTCTGTCTCTCTCTATATATATATATAATTTAAATGTTGTAGTTTAAATAGTGTTTAATCTCTGTGTACAAACAGTATGTCACTATTATTTGCTCTTTATTTCTATTTTACTTTTTATGTGACTCTGAGACTTTGGACACAATCATCTGTGACTAAATAAGGTATACAGTGAGCACTCCACCTGTATTGGTATATTTATTTTATGTGTTTGGTGTAAGGGTCCAACACAGAGGTGTGAAGCTGCCAGAAAATGTTGTTCATATTGAATACTTTGTACTATTAAGTTTTTTTATACAACTATATGTATAGAAGTGGATCAGAACAGTTTTTAATTTTTTTATTCCTCCACTTTTAGTGCCTATATATAGTATTATAAGTGTTATAACAAGGCATGAAATAGTCAGGATACGACACATGCAAAGCTTGTAATCAGCCTTCAAACCAAGCAAGAAGATAGAGTAGGTAAAATAGAGTAGTAGCATGTAACTAGTTCTTAGAGTGGTAAGGCTTAACACGGTGCTCAAGAAAGGCAACAAAACAAAACTATTAGTCAATGTCAAGGGCTACAGACAGGGATAATCAGGAAAAAGCAGGTCAAAAAAAATACAACCAAATAATTAATGGAATTGAGGCTGGAGTAGGTTTATATAGGGGAAGTGTTAAGGCCAGTGTATTTTTGGGAAGCCAAAACATGCATGTGTATTATAACCTAGAAGATACAGAAGAAATTGTGTTAAGAAAATATGGGAAATTAAATGGAACCAAGGGTGAAGGTAAAATAAAATGGAACCGGAATTTGGAAGAGATGAACTGAAACACAAGAAGGAATGGAAAAGACACTTTTTTGTTTGACATAGTGTCTAACCTCAATTATCATGCCTTTTGCTGTGAATTTTACACTATTAATTGCAACTATATGTCATTATTCATTCTTACCTAAACAGTTGCAACTTTGTGTATTTTTGATTACAATCTCCCAGCGCTTCAAAATATGACTCTGCAGTGGACTCCAGACTGACTGCATCTACCATGTCTACCATGTCTTCTTATTATTGGAAACATTGATGGACAAATGTTGCCATTTTTATTTGACAATGGTTGATTGCTGGGTCACGCTTGACCCGTTTTGGTTGTGTATCTTTAGGTGTACAAAGAAACGGTAAAATTGTAGGTATACTAGAGCATTATGCGTGGGTTAGACTTTGATTATTCCAATAGGCAATTATTCCACAAATATTTGGACTTCTGTTTTAATACTAAGACAGGAAATGCGTATAACTATGTTGTTGGGAATTGGGTATTTTCTTAACATCTTTTCTTATTCCCTTTCTTTGGCTTTACTTTTTATATCTGTGGGTGCATTTTTACCCACAGATTTAAAAGCAAGTAAATATGTTTAAAAGCAAGTAAATATGTGTCCAGCGCCAGATTTCCCATTAGTCAGAGTAGGCACCTACTCAGAGTAGGCATACCTGATGGGGGCACCTACTCTGACTGTTCCCCTCCCTACCGCTTGTCCTGTTTGTCCTGGTTTCAGCACTCTGGGATCGCTGCATTCATCTGACGAGCTTGATCTGTGCATCGCCCCCCAGACTGAACACAGCAATCTCTTGGAAGGAGAAGGGAGAGAACCGTTGACCAGAATGACAGGTACACCCACACAGCTACTCATATTGCTGCCCATACTGTTACACACAAATATACACACACTGCTACACATATTGCTGTCCACATTGTTACACACACATACTGCTGCCAAGACTGCCCACACACACACTGGTGCACATACTGTAACTACACACAATACAACACATGCTGCTACCCACACTGTTACACTTACATATACTGCTATCTACACTGTACACACGCTCTACAAAAACATGCTATGAGACAGACATGCATAGACAAACACATAGAGATATACTCAGACATCTACACACTTCTACACATGCAAAAACATTACACACACATATGCATCATACACATACACATACATTGACTGTATATGTGTATATACAATAATGTACATCATATTTCAATGGACATGATTAAGTTTTATTAGTTTGGAGGGGGTGGGTATTAGGGGTGCTTGAGAATTCTGTACCTACAGGTGCTTGCGATGTAAATCTAGTCATGTCGATGGGGCGGGGCCTGGCTGCCAACCGAGATGGCCGCATGCAGAGTGTGCTCTGTGTAAAACACTCCAGCAGAGCCCTAATTCAGAATCTTTACATTAGCAAACTCGACTACCTGAAAGCAGGCAAAAGCAGACTTTACTTCTGCAACACCTGAAAGACTCCTGGACACAAAATGAGCAGCCTGTTCTCGGCACACAACTGCGGCCTACATGGGGGTGCTGGCATGGAAGAAGCGGCCGATCTTCCTGCTGGCTATCCGACTGCTAAAGGTGGACGCGACAGGGGCTCCCGTTCCCCCCCCCTTGCCGGTGGGGGTTATCCCGGCACCAGCACTCACACTGCAATCACGACTACCCAGTGGCCCTGCGACACAGCACATGTCCCTGCTGGAAGAATCGGTGGAAACCAAGATGGCAGGTGCAAGACCCCACAACTTGCCACAAGGCCCGAGGGAAACGACTCTCGCTAAGCTGGATGCACTACTCACAGAATTTTGACGCAAGCTCGAAGAGAGGCAACAGACTGCCAGCAAGCTTGACCACTCACCTCCGGCTGCTGACATGAAGAGCCGAAACCAGCCCGCATCTAAAGCACCGGAGGCTCACAGACAGGAAGCTTCTACTCGACGACCACACGCTGTGTGGGTCTGCCGCTCCTCTGTAGCTACACATGCACTCGCTCGCACTAAGAAGAGGAGGACAGTCCGTAGGAGGAGTGCAGTTCCTGCAAAGCCAACTCACCGGCAATGCCTCATCAAGCTACAAGCCACCAGGCGAACCACCGCCGCAAGGCAGATAGTGAGGAGGCTGGCTGGATGCCACCAACTCGCTATGGCTGAGCCCTACCGCCATCGGCACACCTCGCACCCTTTGAGAGATCACGCCCATCACAAAGAGAGGCACCAAGGAAGAAGGTTGCTGTCCCAGGTGATGATTGACGCTATTCCCCAAGCCTGCACCTACCTGAGTTCACTAGGGACGGACAAGGTCCGTTGCCTTACTGGACACTCCACTGGTTGGGACTGTAGATACCCACTGAGGGGCATCGGGTAGTTGTAAATGTAGGGCTATATCCTGCCACAGGCCTCCCACCACATCAGGCCACACACAGCAGTACATACCCTGACTAGATTAAAATGGCTTCACCATAGCTTGATACTTAACACCTCTGGCTGAACAGGCACCCTGTACCATTATTATGCTCCAATGTTCCATATTGTTTTAACTTACTTATTTTGCTAACCATAGGGAATCGCGTTCTCCCATCATCACAGTTAGCCAAGGCTGTAGGAGGGGTGACAGGGGCCAGTGGCAAATATATGCGGTGTGTAACCCCAGCATGTTAAAATATGTATCTTAGTCAAATCTATTCAGATCCGCAGTTTAGCTTGCTTTATAAACTATTAAAAATGTGCACCATCCTCAAATGTTATGACACAACATCTCGATGTATGTTCAAGGAATGATTATTGCTGCCGTCATGGCATTTCAAATCTGTATGTTAATCTTTGCACAATAAAAATAAAGAATTATAAAAAAAAAAATCTAGTCATGTCTCTGTCCTGGTCTCACCAGCAGCTATAATGTTATGTATGTGTGTAAAACTCTGACATCTGTCAGCCCTACCAAAGCAAAATCCTTCTGGAGTTCTTCTAAAGGACTTGAATTATTTAGCACTGGCGTGCATATAGAGGTCAGCTGCGACCGGGCCCATCAGTCCAGGGGGCCCGGCCGCCCTGCAGTCCCCTGCGGCCGGGTGCCCGACATCTTTATTTGCGGCCCCGGCCCGCGCGGTAAACTGCCGGGGCTGCATGTTAAGGTGCCCATCAGGTGGCCCATGCTGTCAGGGCCACCAGATGGGTATGGATTGTCAGGGAGCCCGGTCAGCGCTGCAGCGCTTTAACAGCGCAACCGGGCCCCCTGTGATGAGATTATCACATGCTGGGAGGAAGTGACTCCCCGTCACTCCTCCCAGCTATCACTGAAAGCCTGCGCGGGAGGAAGCAGAGGGAGTCAGAGTAAGAACTCTGACTCCCATCAACCTGAGCTAGCACTGGACCCCAGGGAAAGTCACCCTGCACTTAAAAGGTAGGAAACAGGAGGGTGACTTAAATATTATGTGTGTGTGTGTCTTTGTATGTATGTGTGTGTGTCGGTCTGTATGCATGTTTGTACCTATCTGTGTCTGTCTGTTTTTATGTATGTGTGTATGTATGTGTCTTGTGTGTGTGTGTCTGTATGTATGTGTGTGTACCTTGTCTGTCTGTTTGTATGTATGTGTCTTTGTATGTATGTTTGTTGTGTGTGTGTGCCTGTCTGTTTGTATGTATGTGTCGTGTGTGTATTTATGTGTCTGTATGTCTCTGTATGTATGTGTGTGTGCGTGTGTTTGTCTGTCAGGAGGGAATTTAGAGGGGGGTGCCCCATGGATCAGTTTTGCACCGGGGCCCCATGGGTTGTGTGTGGCGGAACCAACCTCGCCACTATGCACTGGAGAAGCCTGGTTGCCAGCCTCCTGCCATGTGACTATGGCCCCTGGGATGTATTGCCCTTTAAAGACATGATTTGGGCATAATGGATTTGTGTTGTGCTTTTCTGCTGGCCCTTTAAGAACCATCTGGGGACATACTGTGGAGTTACTGGGTGGCCACCATTTCCTGTATCAGAGGCACATGGTGAGAACAATGGATGAAGCACATGGTGAGAACAATGGATGGCGGCCATTTTAACTCACAGACACTGTTTGGACTTTTCAACATGGTGCCATCTCGCCAGTATTTGATGCACAGAGACATCGTGCAGTGGTTTTGGACTATACAGCAGGGGACACATTATACAGTGATTGTTTTTCATTTAGCCTGTATATGTTCTGCAGAATCTGCATTAAACTGTATCTTCCAAAGTACTGAACGGATCTGGGTGAATTTTGGATATGTGGTTCACCCAGATCCCCCGGTTCCAAGGATAGTTTTATGGGGTTATTGCATGTTTTGGGGTCCCTGTG